AGTCATCTGGAACTTCATCTGACTGCCATGAGCCCTCAAATACTATGGACAGTGGCCAAGCAACTTCATTTGCCAGCTCCTTCAGGACCCGTGGATGGATTTCATAAGGTCTCATGGACTTGTGCACGTTCAGGTTCTTAAGGTGGTCTCAACCTCATCCTCTCCTAAAAATGCTTAATCTTAAACACTTGTCCCTCCTCTGCAACCACCTCCTGCATTTTTATTATCCACTTGAAGTGGAATTCTTCACCTCAAATGTAGTAAACCTACTATCAAGTTAGTTCTTTGTAACACCTTTCTGTTAAAGCCTTTAAATTGTGAATGGACACAATTCTAACAAGAAGCTATTGAGTTTGCATGACATTACAAAAGAATAAGGCTCCCTAATGGCACCTGAAGAGGTGCACCACACATGCTAGCTGCCAGGTAGCAGTGCAGACAGTGGCCAGCTCCGCAAACTAAACTGCTATATTGCTTCCGCCAGCTCCCTTTAGACATCCTCACCTATATAAGTAGTTTGATGCTACTTCAGTGACAACAGAAGCACAGCCTTCAGTTTATCAGCAGCTTCAGCCATGTTTGCTCAAACCACATCTACAGTTCTAGGAGAAGTCTGGTTTTCTGTACCATCTCTGCTTTACAACTTTTACAAGAGCTGAACAAGATGCCTGACATACATCGAAGTGGATAGCTGTATTTCTCAAGCCTCCATGTTTCATCTGAAAAATACCCATGGGCATATCATTTATCGGATGCTTGTTTTCTAAAATTGCTGCAACACATGAAAGCTTCATGCTCAGGAGGCAGCACCTGTGGTTTCAAGTCAAACTACACATCGTAACCATGGCATTTCCACAGTTTCCCCTTCTGAGTTGCCTGGGACTGCTCTACCATCACTCTTACACAAGCAAATCATCTTCCTTCAGCATCTCTTAGAGCTGAGCTACAAAAAAAGCGAGAAACATAAAACAGTTCTGTAAAGTTCAGTGGACTTCTGAAGTTCATGGCTTTCAGAATGCAAATATTCCCATCTTGTGCAAAATAACACTTTGCCATATGCAAACAGTCATAAGCAGATCTCAGCCTAATACAAGTACTGACTGAGGCATTTTTACCTGCATAGCTACACACTTCAGCTACATACTTTCATTATACACTAACATATACCAAGTTAGTGTTTGGGATTCCCAGGGTGTAAGTAAGTAAATGCTTGTAAATTAATGGAGTGTACTTTCTACTAACTACAGAATGACAAGTTGCAGAAAAGACACTGTTTCAGGTGCTGTTCAAATATGCATATTCTGCCTGAAGAAGTGGTCTCTTCTCTTTAGAGCACTGTTGGTAAATACACAAATTTGCTGCCCAGGAAGACCATTGATATCTGTTTTCTAAGCTTTTGAGGGCTGACTCACTGCCTCCATAAGAGGCACATCAACTCAAATGTACTGGGTTATTGTAACAGTGACTAACATCACGTGTGCAATTGAACATTAACAGTATATTCCACCAGGATACTGCTTTCCTGCCAGTTTTAGTACAGAAACCCAGCATAATTCTGCACATAGTAAAAACATCAAGGCACAAAACTGTCCCAGAGAAGGATTCTCAAAGAAACTTTCTGATTTTTCTTTACAAAGGAGCATCTGGAGAAACCGGCTGCCACAATAGTCAACCGGTTTGATAAATGATAAATCTAAGGATAATTTGGGTTTCATGAACGCACATGGTACACAATTCTCTGTTTAAAGAAATTCCACTTGACCATGACATGGGGCATGGTCACCCTCAATATTATGTTCAGATTATTATTGCTTTGCACTAAAGGTGAGATGATTTGCTGTCTCTACTGTTAAACATAAACATCAACTTTTCTTTGATGAAATATATATGGGCAAAGTTACCCAGAGATAAGCCCTTCTTCAGGTACTTCCATTGTCTTCAGCTTCTAAGGGGTTTTGGGCAATTATGCAAATCATTATGCATTTATGCAGTATCCTTTATCCCAGACTAGAACCTCTTCTGACTGGGTGCTGCAGTTAAGTTCTCCTGTCCTACTCATGCTGGATTAGAAGCCCAACCTAGGAGACAGAGATGCCATATCCTATCTGGCAAACAAACAACCAACAACACAGCCCAAAGGAAAAACACCACAACACCATCCTACACAGCTACCAACTCCATACAACCTGTTGTCCAGGTGTACTGCTTTCCACTTAAGACTCGAACACCTGCTCTAAATATTCTCTTTAGTCCTCCTCCTTCAATTCTCTTCCCAGGACAGGACATGCTATTCAAGAAAACAGACTGAAAAATGACCAAAAGCAAGTAGAATTTCAACAGAGCAAACAGCAAAATCTCACTAAGCTATCTGATGAACAGATCAGTTCACATGTATATTTTCTACAGAAGGCACTTCTACACATCCAGGTAATTAAGTGCCATGATTACACGTACATAATGAAGAATTAGTTTTTCACCCCTCCCCATCAATAGAAAGTAAATACTTCCTCAGAGGAAGTATGCAGAAGTCTAATGTTCCTCTTTAGCTCCATCTCCTAAAAAAAAAAAAAAAAAAAATAACTTAGTCATTCCCAAACAAGTGTCAGACCCATTCATTCTGAAAGAGCACATCTGCAACCTTTAGAGCCTGCAAATCCAAATATATAAATGGGCTACAGCAAAGAGACAAAAATACTACAATGGCTTCAGCTTGGATCAACAAAACCATTAAGATATGACTGCTTGCTTTTTAAAGCAGACCCTACCCTATTTTGTCTTCCTTAAGTCAGGAAATAGAAATTGCTCTCACCCAATTATACAACCCCTTTAGAGACACAGAATTCTGTATTCTCACTCAAAGACAACAATATCATGCCTTTGCATTTGGCTGGAAAAAAAATTGGCACCCATTTCAGTATGCAGACTAGCAAGACCCAAGACCTTGGAAAGGATTCCACTGGGAGAGGAGCACTCCCTGCTGCCCCAGGGACAGGGCTTATGATGGATTTGAGCCGGGTTCCTGGAATGCAAGCCTGTAAAGGCATCTCTAACAATCCCCTTCTTCTATTTCTGCAAGTCACGCACTTGTACTATCACACACAGGAAACAAACAACCATGGGTACTGAAGAAGAGCTCCCCACACCTACAGTCTCAGATGAGTTCTGAGCAGGTACAATAGTTTCAGTTCACTTTTACTTCTATAGGCAACAAAGAGGCTCATGAACTCAAAGAGTTCAAGTGGCTTCAGGCTTAACCAAAAAGATCTCTCAGCCAGGAACTACCTGGGGCATCCAGACAGACTCCTACACACTAGGAGGCAAGCCCAGAGAAAAGTCAGATGGAGCAGAACTCACAGGAAGTAACGCTGAGAAATAGTTCTGGGAGTCCAGGTTTGCATCCAGCTGCTGCAGTGGGAACTCCAGGATCACTTTACTGAGCACCTGCATCATCTCTTTCAGGCCAATGTTATATGCATACCTGCAGTGAAGAAGGCAAAACTCCTCAACATTTCATACTATCTGATCTCTGCAGACCTTGTCTCTTCACAGAGATAAAGCAGAAGGTTTAATTTTCATCTTCCAGACTTGTTTTTTGTTTGTTTGTTTGGGTTTCCAAATATTCAGGCAATAAAACCACCTTGGGCTGCATCAGGCCCTGCAGAAGGCCACAAATCCTGAAAATCTGCTATCACAGTGGAACAAGCTGCTGCATGGACAGCACCCTCACATTTACGAGTGCTGAAGGAATATTGTTGCACAAGAGAAGAGAAACAGGTTTGTATTTGAGAAATAGTAGGTAAAAGGCACTCTGATTACGTGTTCTAGACTTGCTCCTGTAAAAACAGAGTGGACAAGCCATACCACAGCACAGCCCCAGCTGCAGGCAGCTGGTTGAATGTTGCAATGCACAGAGCATGAGCCTCTGCATGAACTTATAGGCAGTCTGTGCCAAGAACTGGCTTGCTCTTTTCAGTCCACAGTTACTTAATAGCAATCCAATCTCTCACTGCAGAATTGGGGCAGGAAGAGTCTAACCACTAAGGATGCTTTAGATGCAGCTGGCGCTTTCCATCAATTCCTGTCAGCATTCAGTCATGATCTCTAATCTGCATTTCCCATGCTCTATGCTGATGAAACTGATGTTTAACAATCATATATGGATATTCACATGGTTTCTCCTCTTTTTTCTAGATCCACTGTTAAACTCAACTGTTCAGCATAAGGGACAGCATCCCTAAGGAAATACTCACTTGAGGGAGTTGATTTCCAGGACCAGGTTGTCACAGGAAATGTTTTCTTCTTCACCCCTCTGTAACGTACCCAGAACCTCATTCTGGAAAACTAATGAAAGAAAGGACAGGCAGTTAGATATGAGAGGGAAAAGCAGATTCTTCAAACTGTTCATTACTGAAGAAACTATGCCCTTAAAGGAAGCATTCTGACACAAATGTCTATTTGTTCTCTATAACCTAGCACAAACCCACACCAACTCTACTTATAAACAGTTGAATATAATTCACATAGAGACAACCTACTAGGTATCATTGATCCATCCACAGAAACCACTGCAAAGCTATTTACCTCTGCAACGTTTTAGAGCAGAGTTTCTATTATACTTTCACAATCTAGCTTTTCCTATTCAGAAAAACTTCATCTTCCCCTAAAGATGTAAATTCAAACCTAAAATTTATTGGTTTAATTTCCTTTGGGGAGATCCTTTAACATGAAAAGGGCATTTAGTCCCAGTTTGGCTTGAGCTCCTCTCAAATCCAGGTAAACGTAACAAAACAGAAAACCAAAACATATCTGCCAAAAGAGGCAGCTCCTATGAGGACATTTAATTCTCCAGCATGATTACAGCACTGAGCTGTCCACACAGGGAAACTCTGCTGGACCTTCACACAACTTCTGAGTTTAGGCAATGACACTGCCGTTTAAACAGATCACTCAGGGAGGTCACTTTTGTGAAGGCCCAGTGATCAGGAGTGAGAAGGATGGCGGCTCTTTGTCTAGCTTCTCATCCTTGTCTACCTTGGGTTAACACACAGCAATACAGGGAAAATTAGAAAAAAAAAAAAAAAGGTAGAAAATGCAGGAAGTGAGATCAGGAAAGAAACGTATTATAGATAGTTATCCACAAGTTTTCCCATATAGCTAAGAAAGCAGCACGAATTTCACTCTCACTGCATTATCTGCAAGCTCACCATACTTCTTAAGAGCCCATCTCTCACCTTTGATGTCATCTAGCTGAGGGGATGCTGCCCGACTGTCCAGCTCCTCAGAGCCCATGCTCAGGTCACTGTCTGATTCACTCTCTTCCTCTGAATGCAGAGCTGGGCCTGATGAAGGAGAGAAGATGCAGCACTCAACACTCAAAAGCTGCAGCTGTCATATGCATAAGAAACCAGGTGTTTTAGGGACATCCCAACCAAGTCAGCAACTATCTGTCCTTGCAAGGAAGCTTCTAGTTATAGGTCCACGTGATTACATTTGCTGCAGAGGGAATGCTACAGCAGCCACCAGGATAATAGGACTTTTAAGAGTATGCAGGCAGACAACAAAGCACAGGGACAGAAGCAAATGCATTCTGAGCAGGCTGCTGACTCATGATGGAGCAATGTCAGCAGACGCTGTCACTGGCAGGAAGAAAGCCAGCAGTACCCAGAATAGCCAAAGCATATTCCCCTCTAAGGGAGGGTACCACATAGCGCACCATTCACAGCACAGACAGCTCTGTGTGTCAGTGTATAATAAACAACTTCCACAGAGCATAGGAAGAGAGAGAATCTGGTCCACCATCTGCTTTCACCTCTCACCTTGCCTCCAAGCACATGTGATATCTGGAGCCAGACTGCTTCACAAAGCCCAGGTCTTACTCTAGACAAAGTTACCAGCATTCCACTCAGCCAGTTTCCCTGACACAGGTTTGTCTGCCCATCCTCAGGTGACCATACCACACTTTTCCTCACCCCATAGGCTTTGCCTCTGCTCTTCTTCATCCTCTTCATTCTTGCCATCCGCTTTCCAGAGATAGCCTCTGCCCTCTGAGCCTACATCCTTTTTATTGTAACCTGAAAAAGAAACAGATTAAGAGGTAGATGTACCAGATCTGCTTACAGGCAAACCTGAAATAGTCTGGTATAACTTGCACATTACTGCCCCTTAAATATCCTTCATCAGGAAGGAGCTCTGATTCCTGCAGATGCAAACGGATTTCAGCTTTTATCTTCTCACTTGCCTTGACAAGTGACTGACTTACTCCTCCCTACAGCAGCAGCATTGAGCTGACCATGTTTAGATCCCTTGAGAAATCCAGACTGGTAGAAACAGTATTTCACAAGGACAAAGTCCTTGGACATGGTCCAGGTACAAGGACATAGATCTTGCAACCTGCCTTGAACTGAACGTCTCTTCCAACTTCATCTTCCATCTCTTCCAGCTTATTATCTCCTACAAAGCTCCTACTCTTAAAAAAAAAAAAAAAACAACAAAACAAAACCCCTAAAACAAACACGGAAAACAGGTGAGTCTCCGAAGACTTTACTACTGCAGTATTGAGGTACATCTCATTGTCCAATTTGAGCTGAATATCCTTACTTGCCCTACTGAAAACACACATGGTCCAAGCTGTATGCAGCACAAAGCTCCAGCCTCGCACTGCAGAGTCTAGAATGGGGGAGGGAAAGACCCCAAAAGATCATAGAAGGCAAAGCCCTCTGCGCAGCCTGAGTGCATGGAGCTAGAGATTCTCATACCTTTCAGCTTCACTTTGCTTTCCTCCTTGTTAACACCAGAATCATCACTGAACTGGTCATCATCCTCTTCCTCCTCATCTGGTGGGTGCAGAGAGATCACTGTGCCCTCAGAAAGAGTGATGCCAGGACCTACTACTACCTGCAAATACATGTAACATATTTTAATGAAGAAATATGCTGATTGCCCCCTCGTACCTCCACCAGCAGGGACAACAGCTGCTCCAGACAAGCTGTATACTAATGAGAATAACTGAAGACATCAGTACTGCTAAATCACATACCATACTACCCTAGCCAAACTAAAGGGATGAAAAAGGTGGGAGCAGTATCATATCCCCCTCTATGGAAAAAGGCCTGTAGCAGCCCTGTATTCTGGTATGGTCTAGTGTAAGTCCCGTAACCTGCCGAGAAAGGCGGAAAGCAGAACAGACATAAACAGAGCTCACCTGAGAAGAGAGGACACAGTGAGGCTTTAGCTTTACTTTCTCCTTCACTTCAGCTTCATCACAGATAACAGAATGGCAGATCTCCACGTTATCTGCTATGTGTACTCTGTCCCAGAGAAAAGCTCCATCCAAAGTAACTTTATCACCTGTTATACATCACCAAGCACAAATATGTTGAGCAAGGCGGTTGCTGCTCTTCCACACTGCTGAGTCCACTAGAATGTATCTTAACTGAAACCCAAAGTCCTTGATATGCAATGGACATTACATGGAAGGTGAAAATTTGTCTTAGGGGCTTATGACCACTACTTATCCAAAGCTAAAAGATTTGTTTGTTCTTTACAAAGACTTCAGTTTACAGTAACAACTGACATCTTGGTTTTGCCCAAATACAGCTAATCCACAAAAAAATTCCAGCCAAAACTCGGAAGAAGTACGAGACAGCTCACAAAACCAGGGACAGATGTCCCTCATTTGTAGGATATCGGTAGGTGAAAACTCCAGATCAGTAAAGGCTATGCATTCTCTACAGCTGAAACAACTTGTCTGCATGAAGTGCCTTCCACCTTTCAGCATCATTATGGTACTCTGACAACTTTAACCTATTTCCTCTGCTGCAAAACCAAGTTCTTCTCCTTTCTTCCCATTAGAACTCAATCAGTAGCCACCTATCATCCTCTCTGAGACAAATGCACTTTAAAAACTAAATCGCAAAAAACTCTGCCCTTTCCTGGCAAGGCTTCATATCCCCCATTGTTGTACTCACCTATCCTACAGTTCTGCCCAATAACGCTGTTCGTTATGGAGCAGTTGCTGCCAATGACTGTTCCCTGCCCAATGAGTACATTCTCTTTCAACACGCTGCCATGGCCAAGGCTAACATCAACTCCTCGGTAAATGTTGTGTTTAGAATGGGTATAACTCTGATTCTTGTCATCGGTGAAGTTCATCTCTGGAGTCAAAGGATAAACCCAGCGCCGGATGATGTCAGAGCACACAGCTTCATACATCAGCAAGTTGCATATATGGGCACCGTACTCTTCTGTCGTTACATGCATATGGATCTGGTTCCCCAGGACCTGGGAGACAGGCAGAAGCATGTCATAAGATTCTCTAACACAAGGTAATAGGATCAGCCTTGTAACAATCCTCTCCTTACCTCTTCATTCACCAACAGACCACGCACAAAGTCATCCCGTGTCTGGTAGTCAAAATTGTCTGTAAACAGCTCAGCCACCTGTCAGGAATAAAATATAAGGAAATAATATACTTAGCAGAAAACATTGCCAGGGAAGCCAGATAATTAATGGCTATTCAGTGGTTCTCAGAGAGTCGAGTTATACAGTATAGGAAAGTGATGCTCTTGCCTTTAATAAAGCTTTGATTCCTTCTGCTAGTAGTGTTGACCTTCCCATCTCCTTCTCTTAATGGAGACTATGGACAGACTCTGGTTTACATAAGGGGCAAAACACTGCATTTTCAAGCAATCTGCCCAGCCTCACTTTGCAGTTTCACTCCCAAAGGAAGGCTGCAGACCAGCTTTTTCAGACGTGGAAGAGACATTAGCAAGCCTACGCTGGAATAACCCTGAATGTTACCAGCTTGCAAATAGTGACACTTTTCTACAGCACAGCCATCACCTCTGCTCCACAGATGTTACTATACTCAAAGTGAAATCATGTATTTTCCAGAATAGCTTCATCCTGTGCCAAATCAGCCAGTCTACTGATGCATTCACTGCCTAGTTCTGCCTGGGCTTGAGCTGTGGATGCCAATACAGACTGGGCACCCAGACAGCCTGCAGAGCAATGCTACATGATCACTCAGGCTCTCCGTTCAGTCACTGAGCACAGCTGGGAGTTTTGGTTTCCAAACCTATTACCCTCATGCCACATGCACCCCCTGCGCACCAGTAGGACAAAGGGAGCAATTCATTGAATTGATTGAATTTTGGACCCTCAGATGGGCAGATCTCACCTGTGGAGAGCAGATGCTGATATGACAATCCAGCAAGTCATGGCGCACCTCAACATTCTCAATAGAGTTCTGGAACAGACTCTGAAAGAGGAAAAAATTCAGATGATCCACATGCCTCATGCAATACTGAACCCCAAAAGCCTGCTATAAGCCAGAGCAGTACTGACTGAATTCTGAACTATCTGAAGTTCTGAAGATCAGAAATCTATACTGAGACATTAGCTCAGCAGGCACAGCCTGGTCGTACACAGAGCTGTGTGCCAGCCAGCAGTCTGCCCTTGTCCTTACACAGTGCAGTATTCCAAGAAACAGCTTGTACTTCAAACAATTATTTTTCCTCCAGGAGGCTCCTGGCAATATTCATAGCTTCCATACCCACTGTGCATTTTTAGAGCTGTGGGTTGCTTTTCTCTCATTGATGGTTTTTATTTGTCTCGAGTTTTTTCCTTTTTGGTTTCCTACAGTGATTAATGCTTTCGTACAAAAGTAAAAAATAATCTGATTACTGATTTGGGCATGTGTCGTGGTTCAAACCCAGCCGGC